CGCACAAATGTACGTGGTAGACTCTTTTAAGGTTTTATTCGACAAAGTTGCTTCGCACTTCGCTGAAAACGGTTTGTTCAGTCAAAATGCGAGATATTAGATTTACGTATGAGAGAACAGGGCATATCGAGCAAAGACAAGTCCACAATTAACGTTTATTTATTAATTTTGTTTATGCATGGGCGATCTTTAAATAAATATTAGAAACCCGTCCAAAATAGATGGAAAGAATCAATTCTCAATCAATATCTCATTGTATTTCATGGCAAAAAAAAGAGACTAATTGATGTTATGTCTTCCTCTTCTTCTTATTCTCCTTCCTGTAAAGAGAACATGGAAAAGAAAAAGAAATTTGTATTCCTCCTCATATTGCAATAGAGTTTTCGACTCTGTAAGTGCAATTACTTGTCAGCATTCAATGATTCCTTATTGGTTAATATGAAAATTCGCAAAAAATTATTTCTCTAAGGACAAGGAAGTTTTTCCACATAAGTAAAGGCGACCTTGAATCACGAACAACAAGAAAAACGCCCTGGCTGTGTCCTTTACTTCCTTTCTCACTTCTGTGATTTTCCAACAGTAAAGAAAGGGATTCAGAGATGAGTTCAGATAAACTAAAGTTTTCGTAAAGAGCCACAGAGCATGAACTGCTGATCCACTAAGTACTGTATGTCTCAATATCGACATAATTATAAAAGGGGTGTAGCATGCCACTAAAGCCAACTGCACCCAAAATATGCTGGAAACTGTTTTTTGACATTGTTTGATGTTTAGTTGAACTCTCCCGTTTAATCTTTGTTTTGATGAACCTTTTGGTGTCCATGCACGTACTCTTCCCCTTCCTGTACCTTTTACTTCTGCTCCTTCTTCTGTGGCTGTTCTTGTCCCCGTTATTGCGCCTGCTTCATCTTTTCCTACTCCTATATCTTCTCCTGCGTTTGACCGTCCTTCGCCAGGGTTGTCTTCTACTTCAGCTGGGTACCGCTGTAATCTCAGGTGGATCTTTACGTAGCAAAACACGGAAGTAACAAGAGATACCACAACGGCCACAAAAGCAACAATCTCCAAAACCGTTTGACTCCAGACACGAACCAATCCGCATAAAACAGCAATTATCGAGCATAAAAGTATAACAGCTTGAGTTCGCTTTAGTGTCACAACTTGTCTGTATCTCAGCCTCAATAACAGAACAAGAAGTCTTTCGACACTGATGGCTGTTGATATCAGTACAGTCACTCCAAAAAAAACATAGTTGGATATACAAACAACCTCTTCGACGTAATACAAAATATCTATGTCGGTGTTACCAAGATCAATGTAAAGAAATAAAGCAGTCACGAACAGAGGTTGTGAAAAAAGACCCACACAAAGATCGGTAGCGGCTAGACATTCTAACAAGACCTTTGCAGCGGGATGCAAAGAGGACACTTTATAAAATGTTAATAGAAGCAGAGCATTACCAAGAAATGCAGTGAAGGAGAGGACAATGTTGAAAGCGAGGAGAAATGCTACTACTCCAATTGGTAATTGTGAAGATAACTGGCTTGTGAGGGTCGCCATTGGCGCTCACATTCTGTCTTTCCCTCTTTTAGCAGCAAATGAACCTTTATTGGGCGATCCGTATTCGATATAAGAGTATTATTGTTTTTTTGAGAATTTTAACAGTTTCTATTGGATAAAAAATTCCTCCTGTTGTCTGATTTTCCGATGACAAATGTCACAGCTATAATTAGACCTGTTTTTAACTCTTTCGTGTTTTATTCATATTCCTTGAATTTCAATCATGTTTAGTGAGCGGGTGCCACATTTATTTAACATACTAAATGACGTAGAATCTGTGAATTATTTTTCGCCGATACTTTGTAGAGCTTCCTCAACAAGTCAGCTTTTCTTTTCAGTTCCTGACTCATGTGTGTCTTTGCCCTTCTTAGCCATGCTTGTTTTGTTTTAAGGTAACATATCTGTGGTTCCTTTATGATAAGCAAATGCACAATATACTAATGTTAAGGAACATCGTGGTCCATTCTCATAAATAAAGGAATTCTTGAGCTACAAACAACAACAAAACGGTCTGATTGTCTTCTTTACTGCAATTCTCACTTCTCTGAACTTCCAGCACTAAAGAAAGAGATTCAAATTTAATTTTATGTTATCAACTGAGTTGAGAACGTAAACTGGCTACCGTATGCTAGTTTCCGTTTATTCATAGCAGAAAAATTGATTACTTTGCCGCGAGTGTGTTCCCTAAATTCAGAATTCATTTGCGAGAGCCAATTTGCCGGCACGTCAAAATATGTTAGTGAGTAGAGGTACTCTTTAACTTGGCGAAAAACATAAGCGCAAGGCTGAAAAATATTCGTGAAAATCTTAGCTCGATATCACTTTTTCCTCTGAATGAATTCTATTAGGAACTGAAGAGAATACACAACTTTAAAATTAATGAAATTTGTGTTACCACCGCAAATAGCCAGCTGAATACAAACAATTACCTCCATGCTTCTTTTGAAGTAAAAATGAAAAAATAAGCCACAGGAAATATTGGAAAATCACCATAGGAAAAGAAAACAAAATGATATTGACCGAAAACGCTTCAACTTTGTTTTTCTTGAATATAGAAAACCCCCCTTCTGCAGTTGAAAGTCTTACATGGCTAGAGAGACTTAAATATCACCACCTGCTAATTTTGGAAACTAGATTCGTTCTTTGGATGTTCAGTGTGGTGTTCAAGAGGAGAGTTCTCAACGCCTTTAGTAGTGAAAGAGTGGTAACTGCTATAAAATAACATGGAGAACCTGACGGAAAATACAAACCAAACAAGAATTTATCAATTTCGTTGCTTCACGGGCGTATGTGATCGAAGTCTTATTATGTTTGTTTCGTCATTGATCTTATAATTTCCGTTGCAGCCATTGTGGGAAATGGTCTCATTCTTTTCCCTCTCTGCAAGATTTCTTCCCTTCATCAACCATCAAAATGTTTGTTCAGTAATCTGGCATGCACTGATATCCTTGTTGGACTCAGTTTCCAGCCGTTTCATCTTGCTTACGTAATTTCCCAAGAACACTCTGCAATTTGTTACCATAGCTCGCTCATCAACCGAAGCTTGGGGATCATTTTCTGTGGCGTGTCTGTCCTCACAGTGACTGCAATAAAAATAGGCAGACTTTTAGCTGCTTCACTTGGGCTAATATATCGACAAGTAGTAACTCTGTGGCGAGTAAGAGTAACTTTAGTCCTTTGTTGGCTTGTTTAAGTTACAAGAGGAATAACAAACCATTCCATCCTTTCTATTTATTTGATAATCAGTAACATGGGTGTAACTTTTTCGATGATGACTTCTACTTTCTGCTACATAGAAATTTTCATAAAACTCCGCCGTCAACAAGCTCAACTCCAAGCTTAAACTATCATTCCCAAATTGTGTGATACACATACATTTTTCAAAGATAAAAACGTAGCGGAATGACGTGCTCATTGTTGAGTTGAATTAACAACTGAAAGATGGAAACTTAAAAGCCGCTCTTCAAAAGATTGCAATATCACTGTCATCATCCGAATCATTATCGCCAGATATCGTGATTTAAATTTCGTCGTCATCATCATCCTCATCGTCATCATCATCCTCATCGTCATCATCATCCTCATCGTCATCATCATCCTCATCGTCATCATCATCCTCATCGTCATCATCATCCTCATCGTCATCATCATCCTCATCGTCATCATCATCCTCATCGTCATCATCATCCTCATCGTCATCATCATCATTCTCATCATCATCGTCATCGACATAGTCATCTTCCTCGCCACCTTCGTCGGATTCCTAAGAGAAAAAAGGCATTGAGTCGTTATTTTGTTGACCTACATAAAACACGTGTTGTAATAAGTGACGTGATTTAAAGTTCATCTCTGCTTTAGTGCCAGGGGGGCGCTATAGTCCACAACCTAACGAAGTGCAGGATTTTGTATGCAAATAAGGCACGAACCAATCACATAACCGAATTCGCATCCAAGATGGCGGTTTCACTTCTCTATGATTGGTCCGTTCCTACTAATATTGATGCGAAAGTCCTCAAGATTCTCATACCTGCTCGTCCTCGTCATCAGCCCTACCTAGCCGCCCAACTTCGTATACCCGGCAAACGCTTTCGTCGGTGCTCGCCTGATTCTAAAAAAGATCATTACGGGATTTATGATATGAAATAATTCATGTGAACTGTTATGACATGATGACGAGATCCTTGCGGTGATATTTTGTACCTTATGCAATCATGAAATGACAAGTAAAGCCAGTCAGATGGCTCACATTGCCAAAGTTTCTCCCAGTTGTCGTGGCATAAGGTAGCTGGGATTACTGCTAGCTCCTAAGCTTGCAATGCAGGCATTATATTAGGGCGAGTTAAGGTTAAGAAGTTCGCGATCTATTATTTGACCGGCCATGTTTGACTTGGAGTTTGAGTGGACAGTGGAAGGAGGGGACGGTGAAAGGCGAAAAGACCCTTGCTCGAAGAGGCTGTTAAAAAGCGAAACACCTCCTGACTAATTGTGCGTCACCGCATTTTCGGAAATGAGCAAATAACCGTAACCACAAGAAAAAGAAAAAAGAAAACAAAAAGGGTAGAGCGGATGAGTGAAACTGTGAGACAGTTTTTTTTTTTCAGCGAGGAGACAAATGGCCTCGACGTAGCCCCCTCCGAGGACACAGATATGAGCTGATATTCACTGCATTCTATGTTCTTTGAGTGTAGCTTCCGTTAATCCCCTTGACGATGTTTCTTCCATTTGATTGTAAACGGTACTTTGAAGCAGACACACTTCTGCACACGAAGGTTTGTTTTATAATTAGTTTTAATGCTAACTGTGTTCGCCCACAACTCCGTTTGTGGGCGAACACAGTTTCCCAAACCAAGAATGACCTCAGACGAGCGTAATCTTCATTGCCTCACCCCCCTTTTTGACCGTGGCTCAACCCCGTGTAACAAATTTCTTCCTCTACTGGAAATGAAAGGCTAGTTAGTCGCAAGGCTCTCCTCCCTCCCCCTTCCCCAGCATTTCGTCAAGTTTTCGCACCAGTTGCTGCTACCCATTTTTATTCCTCGGTGGAGAGATGTACTGTGAGAATAACGTATCTTCCCAAAGAACACTTCACAAAGACCTAACCAGGGTCCCAACCCAGACTCCTCGACCCTGATTCCTACGCTTTAATGATTGGGCTTCAGCTCCTCAAATAATTTTACAAAGAGGTTTGGAGGAAGGAAAAAAACAAAAAAAAACAAAAACAACATTGAGACTTTGAACAGGATTTGAGCTTGTGACCTCGCGAGATGCCGGGTGCTGTGCCCTGGCCGACTGAGATATGTAGTCACTACCCTTTAATGAAAGGTGAATTTGTCGGCTCAGGTCTTACGATCAAGATGAACTGAATTGAATGTTTCATAGAAATCATAAGATTCCTCTTATCTCTGAAGGAGTGAGAAGAGGGAGAAAAAAGAGAAGAGAGGAAGGCAAGCAGGAGTGGGAGAGGAAGAGGATGGGAATGAAAGAAAAAGGATGGAAGGGAGGAAAACAAAACAATGCAGAGGTTTCCGATTTAAAAGCTTACCTTACAAAGTTGTTAAACTTGTCAAACTTGTGTATAACCCGTTTGCCTTTGACATCCCATAATACACCGTCGTTCAGCACCAGGTCGTCCGTGGGATTGAAGGAGGCGAGGTTCTTTGAGTAGTTGTTAGTGTTGTTGGAATCGTGCAGAGTTAGTACCCGCTGACCTGTCGCAGTGTCGTAAATCTGATGATTGAATATAATCTAGTGAATAATATCATCACACTCTAACTGCATTCTAATGCTCGTTGTTATCGAGAAATAAAAAGGGTGTTTTAGCAGAGAAGTACCACAAGCAATAAACGACAAAAAAAACAAAAAACAAAAAACTGAACCAAATACAAGAAAACATTGGTCAACCCTTACTAAGGTAATCACAAGGCTTTGCCTCCAATTTATTAACGATCTACCGAGAGAAATCTCGAGTTCGACGCCTTAAAGTTTGTTTAATTTTTCAAAAGACGCATTTCAACTGAGAGACGTGAAAGAAAAACCAAAGTTGTTTCTAAAGCATATCAAAATAACCAATAAAAAATTATTAAACACAGCCAACAGGCCTCAGAACAAGTAAACTGAGGCGTAGAAAAGTGATCTTGGTCATGAAGTCTGAGCTAAAAATGCTTCTTGAAAGTCCATGTATTCGAGACAAAAAATGATCGCGCACAAACTTGGGCGAAATCAGCGATTCTATCGTCCTTGCTGTTCCGTGTTCACGCTGTAGCAATTTCGCTTATCTATTTGTCCTTTTGTAAATGTTCTAAATGAACAGCGACAATTTGTCAAACTAAGGCTGATCGCGATGTATTTAGAAGTGAAAATGTATCATATGTCTTGAACTCACATGCGCAGTAGCGTTGTGTGTGCCAATAATTCTGTGTTCTGATAAATTACTAGACTTTACCCAGGTGTCTTCGTTAAATGTATGTCTGAGCCAAAGACAAACAAATAAAATTATAGGTAAATAACATTTTTTATAAAATAGAGAGATAAATGTAACGACGAAATATTACAGTTCGCCCACTGTCACCGTGTTATTAACACCAATCTGATTTGAATGAAAGTGAACCTCGCAGTAATGTGCACTACTTAGGCAGTAGTGAAAATAAGGCCTGAAAAAAATTCAGGCCTGTACGGGATTTGAACCCATGACCTCTGCACCGGTGCAGAGGTCATGGGTTCAAATCCCGTACAGGCCTGAATTTTTTTCAGGCCTTATTTTCACTACTGCCTAAGTAGTGCACATTACTGCGAGGTTCACTTTCATTCACGTCTTTATCCGCAGTTCAAATATATGACTTTCATATATTCTTAACCATTTACCAATCTGATTATAGGATACGAGCCATGATATACACCTAAATTATTTCCCATTTTGCTTGTTTTGATCTTGAACGTTGGTTGCCGCAGGTGCATTAAGTTGAAATCATTGCTCGTCTCCTGTAATCTATGAAATTAGTTTGTCTAAGTGTCTTCTGTAAAAGTTGTAGCTCTGAAAGAACAATGTAAAACTTCTTTTTGTATCTCAGCGATCCTAAAGTCAACAAAAATTAATGGTAAAACATAGCGAAGTACGTGTTTGCTTTATGTTTCTGCGACAAACATTGTAGTTTGTTAAAGGTGAGATACAAATATACCAAGCAGAGACACAAACAAGGACGTTACTATCCAATGCACTAGTGGTACGAATCAAACAGGTTTTCAAAGACTTACTTCATTTCGAAAACGTCTCCAAATGACCAAAGAGCACAGGGAGGCGAAGCAGATGAAGATGACGTCAATAAAAGTTCGCGGTCCTAAAAGTTGAAGAATGGAGTACAGAAAGACAATTTCAGTTATAAATGAATTCGCGAACACAGCCTGAAATGGTCACATGAGCCTTAGATAGGTTCATAACGTTGCGAAACACGCTGCAAAACTGATGAATAAAAAGGGTTGATTGGTTTGAACGAAAGATATGGAAACTAAACAGTTAACATGAAGACTGAATTTGACCGAACGTTAAGTTATTTAAAAGCAATAGCGGAGATGCTTTGTTTGTGTGGATGTGGACCGAAATCCAACATCGAACCTAACTTGTCACCATTTGACTGTTGTTGGGTCTGGGGAGGAAGGGGTGGGTGCGCCAAAAAAAAAAAAGTTGTTGAAAAACATTAATGAAACTTTCCACTCTGTTTGAAGTAGAAAGAAACGTATTTTTGACTACATGGGGAGGGAAGCTTCCATGTTGTACTCTTACTTTTGAACATTGGCACATGGAAATTGCTCTGTCTACGCTACAGAGATAATTAAGTCGCCTCTTCCCGCAAAATATACTTTTTTAAAAATAAATTCGTGAAATACAAAAGAACATGAAAATCATGCACTGAGCGGTTTAAATCTAAAAAAGAACAAAAAAAAAAGGAATAGGTGAGATACAGCTGACAACTTAACTTGTCACAATTAACGACTAATTCATTCACATACAACTGTTTCAAGAAAAATTTTGCGTTTGACTTGAAATCAAAATGTTTCGATTGAGTTTTGTACCTTTCCAGTTATTAAGTTGTATTCCTTCAACTCGCCTATTTGTGTTCCAAGTAAAACAGACTTGCCATCGGGCTGAGGAGAAAAAGTAAAAACTTAGGTACTACGTTTACATGACCTCATAAAAGCCATCATTTTTTTTAAACAATTGTAAGGATAATTATTACGAGTAGAAAAAAAAAAAAGAAACACAAGATCATAATTTCTATTATACTAAGAATCAGCCAAATGCAAACGACACAAACAAGAGGTTTAAACCGTTTCACTTCTAAGAGTGACCAGCGTCTAATTTCTCTTTACAATATCACTCCTTGAAGCAAACATTAGGATCACGAGAATAAAGAAAATGATCACCAAATAAGAAGCTCTTGATTTTTAACTAAATTCTCTTTGTCAGCACCTTAGGAATTACATAGAGAACAGTATGGAGAATATGCATACTGATGTTAGCATGTAAAGGGTCAAGCCCTGAAGATAGGTTTTTGAGGAGTAAATTTGAGGTCTGAAGAAGTGTCACAGTTCGTTCATCGTAAAAAAATTTTTAAAAAAATCGGTGTTCAGTTTCAATTGGTTTTAATCTTCTTCACTCTTGGGAACCAGTCTTTATTTATCGCTTGGGGAAGGGTAGGTGAATTCCTGGGGATCCCATGGTTTTCAGGGGGGGAGCGGAGGATGACCAGTCGTCTCTAACAGAGCTTAAAGGAGCAACTATAGAATTGACTGCCAATGAGGTGGGATCATTACAATACTACAGACCCTTAAGGGGGGATCAGGTAAATTTTATGGTGAAACAAAAAGAATACTCTGACCCCCGCCCCACTCCTCCAAGAGGAAAAATGACAGGCCCCTTCTTAAGTTTACTTCAACTGCTTTGCGTTTGCCAAACTTAGCCAATCATAATCTTTTCCATCCAACGCAACGCAACGCAATCTTTTATCTTGTGCGAGATAAAAGCGTGTTATCCCAAGCGAATAAGAGCTTGGGTAGCCTATCAGAACATAGGACTAGCATCATCTTACCCGCGGGCACTCCCAGCTGTATAATATACATGATTGGACAAGCGTGAAAAAAGCACCGCGCTGTGCAATACTCACTTTGTAATTGGCCGCTGATAAACAGCTGTAGTTTTCCAATGACTTTTCTGATCTTGTCGCTCCTCGATAAATCACGTAACGCTTTACAAGCCAGAGCACGAATACAATCTGCATCAACCAATGGCGTTTTCACCATCAGTAAGGAGAGCAGAACCTTGATGCCATTACTGGCCCTGACACATCCACACATCTTGGATAAGATGTCGTCCATGCTTTTGAAAGCCGGCTTGGATTTCGACTGAAATTTTGAAACAGCTCCACTAATCTGCAAACAATGAAGACAAGAGTAATCATCGCGGTGACGCCAAACACTACTCAAGCAGTTGAAAAAATAAAAAATGAAAAAAGAGTCAGGCCTATATTATAGTTGAACCGAGAACTGGAAAAAAAGGAACAACGCACTCGGCCTGGTAGCTTAAAGCTTTAAACGCAAAGTACTTTTAAATTCCTAACGTTTTCCTAACGTTTGAGAAGCAATTTTTTCATTAACTTTAATCAGCCTAAGACTGGGAGGAGAACAACGTTGAGGGGGAGAAGGGAAGGGGTTGAGGAACCGTGCAGAGGTAAGCAAAGATTATCGTGTTGACTCCGATATTGACTCAACTTTACGCAACTTTGTCACTATCAAGTCAGTTTCAAAATGAAGAATTTTCGCCTTGCATGTTTGTTGTTGTTGTTGTTGTTTTTTTTTTTGTCGGGAGAAAACTTTGAGGAACTCATACGGGAGAGAGGGAACTCGATCGAAATGTGCACTAACTACTTACCCTGACTCGAGGGTCGCACACACAGTTACAAATGACGTGCAGAGCGGCTTTCTGCACCCCAGAGTCGATCAGTAAACTCCCTTCAGCGCAACGCAGCAGAAGCCTGGAAAAAAAGATTTCTTAAAATGACTACATAGAGAGTATATAAGCCTTCTGATCTCTTGCTACCTAATGTTATCACGGGTCATTAAATTAATGCGACTAGGAACATTACTACTCCTTATGATGATCACGAAGGACTTTTGGTGGGAATTTTTCGAGTATTACTTCACGTCTAAATTAATTATTTTTCCGTAAATCATACCTCATTCCCTTCTGTTGTTCTCCTGAAGGAAGTTGCACTTCTTCACACAGCGCCATCTGAGCCTTAGGGCCGACTGTCAACAAAAACAGCATCTCTAAGGCAAGGCGGGTCACGTCGGCTGCTAATCGGATGGCATCCGCTCTTGAATGAGAGCAAAGGAACACGAATGGAGAGGATTAACAAGCTGCTTATACGCTTTCAATTTTAAAAAATGTTAGTGGAGATACTCAGAGTTCACATATAGAGCAAAATATGCCAGTAACAACAGCAATATATACAGATTTAGTGAATGTAACCGAAGAAGTTACGATTCATAGACCCAACGTTTCGACACTCCTGTCTAGTGCCTTCATCAGGGGTGATCTAAACGCTGCAACAAGAGGTCCTTTTATATGATCACTAATTAGCGGCCTTTTTCTTCTGACGAGGTGTAAATAGACGTCAGGAAGCAAACCACCATCGTCACGATTTAAAGGAGTGTGGGCGGAGTTGATATGCCAAGCCTCCAAACAAAGGCGCTTATGGTAACGCCGATTAGTGGTGATAATTTTAGAATTATCCCACCCAATTGTATGGTTGGTTGGGCATGTACGCTCCGATAAAGCTGAATTTTCCTTTTTGCAAAAAAAAACCGCTTTTTGGTGCTCTTTTAACCGTGTACCAAACTGACGTTTGGTCTGTCCGATGCATTCGTTGTAACAGTCATTGCAAGGAATAGTATAAATGGCGTCGGTTCGTTGTTCTTTCGTGACAGGATCCTTAGGTTTGGCGAAAATATGCCCCAAAGTCTGAAAAGATTTTTGGGCAACTTTAACGTTGTGGCTATTCAAAATTCTCTTGATGGGTTCCGTAACACCCTGTATGTAAGGAATAACAGCAGAACCAGTCACTGGTTCCCTTTCATCAAGAGCGTTACTATTTGTAACTGGTTTTTGGCAGTTACGGAGAAAAGTTTTTGTATAGCCATTTTCCTTTAGGACATTGGCAACAAATTTCCTCTCCTCAGCCTTCGAATCGAGTGAAGATGGTAGACAGTCAGCCCTCCTAAGTAAAGTTTTGGCTACAGACTTTTTATGGCAAATAGGGTGGTGAGAATCGAAAGCGAGGCATTTGTCGGTGTGGGTAGGTTTACGGTATACACTTGTCTCTAAATTACCCTGAAACCCTCTGGACACATTTAAATCAAGAAAGGGCAAATGTCTATCCTTGTCACGCTCAAGGGTGAATTGGATCGACGGCTCTACTGAATTCAAATGCGACAAGAGGCGCTCCGCTTCATTTCCGGATACCATAGAAATAACATCATCGACATATCGTTTCCAGAAAAAGGGTTTAACCGGTGAAGTGGCTGAGGCCCTTTGTTCCACGTCTTCCATTACCATGTTAGCAATGACAGCAGAGACGGGCGAACCCATCGCTTTACCAAAAACTTGTTGATAGTAGGTGCCGTTATATGTAAATTGGGTGGTTTTGAGGCAAAAAGACAGCAGATGAATAATATCCTCCACTGGCAAAGAAGTTCTTTGTCCCAGGGAAGCATCTTCTCTGAGTCTTTCCTCCGCAACCTTAACGGCAAGATCAACTGGGATTTTGGCGAAGAGCGAAACAACGTCGAAAGATACTAATTCTTCACAAGCGTTAAGAGTTTTATCTCTTATGAAATCCGCAAATTCGCAGGAATTTTTGACAGCGTAATCAGTATTCCCAACAACAGGCGACAAAATTCTCACAAGATAACCAGAAATTGCGTAAGTCGGAGAATTAACAAAAGAGACAATGGGTCTCAAAGGAATTCCCGGTTTATTTTTTATTTTTTATAATTTTAGGTAAGCCATAAAAACGTGGACATAAGCTGTCACTACCGTATAACATTTTGTACGTAGAGTCACTAATCCTACCAGCTTTTTTCAAATCAAGCAACATTTTGTTTAACTTTCTGTGAGTTTTACTGGTAGGATCAGAGTTTAAGACAGCACACGTATTCTTGTCATTAAAGCTTTGTCGTGATATTGCTGTTTGTCCATAACATTGTCTCTTTTGTGGGATAATTCTAAAATTAATTTCCATTCATTATGGAACGATTAACCATCGATCATTTAAACATAGAGCAGTGGACAGGCCTCGAAAAATGGCATTTAAAATACAGTGAGAAAAATTAAGAAAAATCTTGAGTCAATAATACTAAAAGGCTACCTGTATCCTTTAGAAGGCAGTAGAAAATCGCTACAACTAATGTTCTGATACGATTTTGATTTTTGAATTATCAAAAACATCAATTCCTTGAGTTGAAACGATTTCCGAGAATTTCCAATTCCGGTAGCACAGTCCTACAGTCCAGGGGCCAATACTGGTAACATAACTTCCTTTATTCGTGGTTAGTGCAATCAACATGGTGGACTACAAAAACGTGTCTCCTACGCATGATCGTGCGAGTAGCCGCTGACCAACACTAAAGGCAGTCCTTTCCAATGACGTACCTATTACTTGTCACTCCCCAGTCTGACGATAGGGAGATCAACTGAAACAGCAGGGTGAAGCCTTGAAGTCTGTTCATCACCTTTGGGATGGAAGGAAAAAATGTTAAATAATAGCGAACTTGAGCAGTCAGGAATGAAACGCCGAGGAAGACGTCGACTAAAATAATGAATTTTTATTTTTGGTTCGGATTTTGCGAATGGCTGGGTGTGTTTACCGTCTCTTACGGTGCCAGATCCCAACCTCAGCATAACATATGTGAGCCTGGTTGAGTTCCAAATGGAAATTTTACTCTTATGCCATCAGGGTTTCCGTTCTCAGACATAGCAAATTTTGGTGATTTCACGTTTCAAGTGCTGTTCTCGTTTTAAGCCGTCGTGGTTTGCCACAGATCCCTAATAAACATAAGAAAACGTATGCATCCTGACACTGTAGAGCCCACAGACAGAAGCGAGTTTACACAAGTTATGGGTAAATCGGCAAGATCCGATTAGAATTCCAGCCGCTTGGGTAGCAAAGATTTTCATACTCGACCACTTCATGGAATATCCAAACAAAAAGTCCACAAAAAATGAACCAGTCTTGAGGCAACAGAGCGATTTGTGCAAGCGAGTCTGTGCTTATGAGCATTGGTTGATGAAATAAAAAAAAACAAAACAAGAAACGAATAAACAAACAAATATAAGAAATTACTTCTCCACTCTATTCCTGAGAGAGAAACGTATCTAATGGATTGATATGTATACGTAAACTACGAGAATTATGAATATAATGATACTAATAATAACAATTATGATAATTATAATAATAACAATAATAATAATAACAATATTAATAATAAATAATAATAATAGTAAAACCGAAGAAAATAACAACAAAGCAATGTAAGTAAGTGTTACGGTGTCCATTGGGGGGTTTCATAACGTACGAGCCGTCGTTAACCATCAAATACTGTGCCCCATTACTGCGAAAAAAAAACAACAAAAAAAAACCCTTTGCCGATGTTAAGTTCACTTCCAACCTCTCTGAACTAAAGCAGCCATAAAATTAGGGAGTAGGCTTGAAAATTCACCTTATACGCTGGAACTGGAACAGGTGGTGTTCCACCCTCGTTCCTTGCCATAGATCTCCTCAGCGCATCTGCCCTGATGTGAAGATGGGCATTAAAGTATCTCCGTAGAGCCATGCAAGTGTGATTTGCTGTCTGCCGGCTGCCAAACACCTCATCATTACTCAGTAGTTCTGCCTCGTCGGGACGAAGGATTGAAAGTGTACTTAGCTGCCACAACATGGTTAAACAAAAAAAGATTCTTTTAGAATGGTTTGTAGCCTGTAATATTCGTTGTTTTCAAGATGCAAACGCAAGTGGAATAGGACCGTAAAATGGCTTGAAAAAATTTAAACGAGTCTGCGCAATCTGGAAAATGCAAACACGGCGTGTACTAAATACTTCTTTATTCATAGCGGTCGGCATGTCTCTAAACTACTTTTCAAAAGTAACAAACCGTGATTTATTGAAGTGGAGGTTGCTGGCTAGTGGCGGATATTCACCGATTCTCGAAGCCGCGAGGTGAACATCCACCGCCAGCCATCGACACTGAGGTGAATAGTTATGGTATATACTGATATGATATAGCAAAAAGGGATGATTCTAACTCATTTATTCCCGCGATGATTGCAATATTTCCGCGCGCAAATCACGCGCGAGTTACTCGGAGGTGAACAGCAACGGATATTCGGAGTTTGAGTAGCCAATCATAATGGACCTTCAACGTTATCCACTATTTTATTAATTAAATAATCACATTTTACGTTAGTTATTCTTTTATTTCTTTACGTATTGCAAAATATTTCGAATGAGTGTTGTTAAGAGAAATTGCTACTCCTACGAGAACGGAAAGGTCACAAAACAAATAGACCTCGTGGTGTGATCCTACTCCAGGCGATTGAACTACACGATCCACGTTCTCTGGGGTCCAAACCGTGTTGTGTAATTAATAAATACAACTAACTAATTACCTGGTTCACAAGCTTCCGCAGACCATCATTACTGTCGAACAATTCCAGCACTGCTCGAAATGAACACGTGAGCGAGAAAAAGAGAGTTGCGTGACATCTGCCAGAGTCGTGAGAACATTCTAGAAGCCACAATGTATACTTGACCTGGTCATTCAGCACAGGGTTTGGTAGGAGGGACACCTGAAACAAGTTACTTGAAACAGTTAAGGAGGTTCTGTCGACATATTCTGTTTGTTAATTTCATGATTCTCAGGCCCATGTAGAAAAAAGAGCACCAAGAATTTAATTATTCGAAGTGTTTTTGTGGAATTAACGGTAGTTTTGTAAGATAACATTTTTTGAGTGATTATCTTTATGTTTCTTATCTTTATCTTTTTCTTTCTCCTTGTTTACGATTCTATTTATCCATTTAACCAGTTTTTCTTTAATTCCTTTTTTATCTCTCTTCATGCAGCAATAAGTGCTGTGAAGTTTTTTCTACCTGAAGGTTATACGTTATACATAAATAAGCTTTTTCTGGGGGGGGGAGGGGAAGGGGAAGGGAGATTGATGAAAAATAAGCAGAGATGTGTTATTCATTGTTATTTCATGTTTAACGGAATGATACTGGTTACCTCTTTCTTTTAGAAAAAAACTGGTCTGCTTATAGCTCACAGATCATTGGTAAGTTAAATCTGCACTAAATAATGCATTTCTTCCAAGTATAAATCAAAAAACCTAAAAACATTTTTTTTAAAATGGAAAAATGTCTTACCCTCTCCATGGCGTCCTCATTGTAAGCGAGATAATATAAACACATAAAACATCCTGTAGCAGCCACAGATGGGCGGGGCACTTCTAGTAACCGCTGGACTCCGTTATGAGTCACAAATTCTGTGGCAAACTTTTCATGATAAAGAAAGGATGCCAAATACTAAAAAGACAATAAAAGGAAATAGCTTTTAAATTCTGAGGCTTTTTTTTGTCAGATTTCAGTAGGTACAATGCATTATTGTCTTAACCTCTAACTTCCACAAGTGACCAAGACAGAATTTCTCCTTACAATATCAATACAATATCAACCAGATAAGCAATGAGAATAAAGAAAAATATCAATTCGGACATGATTAGCTGATCCAATACTAAATTATCCGAACTAACATTATAAGAATTCTATGGTTGACAGTAAGGGGAATTACAAATTTGATCTGGAAGTTGAAGAGTTAAAGTAGTGTTTTTCAAGAGGGATGAATGTGGTAGAGTGTCTAAAGGTTCGTTTACACAAAAGACAGAGTTGGAGTTGAATTGTTCTTTAGTCGTAGGAATGCCGGCGAACCAGAGAAAATCGAGAGTCGGAGTCGTAAGTGAAGCCCAAAGCTTGACGAAATCGGAGTCGGAATATTCCGAACAATATCTTTTCTTCCGTTTCCGCTAATAACTCCAACGCTTATGATCCAGTGAAAACTAGATTGTCGGAATCACAGGCAATGCCAGTTCTTAGCTGAGCTAACCGACGGCTCACAACTCCAGCAATTCATTTTTCACATATCACTTGCGAAGGAGTCATGAGTGGCATCAGTATTTTGCTTCTGATTCTATTGGTTTGATTTCACAAGGTCATATCGCTCTGCTCTTTTTATTTCTTTAGAAGTCGATCCAAGTTGATAATGAAGGAGAGACAAATTTGTTTGTTTGTGAAGTCTCTTCGAAAATTCAACATCCGTTTTCAACGCTAAGCTGCTTGTTCTGCACTGCAAAAAAATATTTGAGGGATAAAAAGCAAAAGAATACGTCCTCAATTTGGCTCTAATATATAAACGTATATTTTGTCTTTAAAGATGATCAGTTTCTAAAAGCGCACAGTTTTTCTCAAGCTTTACTCTCCGAAAATTCTTGGCCTCTCTAAACAAAATAAACGTTCACCAAAAAAAAGTACGAGCATATTTTCACACTAAATAGAGATTACTGTTCAATAGTCGGTCCTCACTCAAATTTGTTAAGTTTCTAAATTATCCTTACAGATTGAGTACACTTTTCTCACAAGCTTCCCACAAACTTCAGTAGGGGGAGTCTTACTGTTCTTCACATTACATCAAATGCTCAAGTGCCTAATTACAGCACATACCTCCTGATATTCTCCCAAGGGAGTCAGATACTACAGAATTAGTCTCTGCTGCATGCCAAGAGTCAGGGGGGAGAGGGAAAAGGGCATAGGGACTATGTGGTACCCTCCCTTAGGTGCACAAATTACATTTCCAGTGGAACGGAAACCCTTGCTTGTTTTAATTAACAATGGATGTTTTGCTTGTAGACAACTTTTACCTGAAACAAAAAGAAAATATCTATTAATATTAAGGAAACTGAGCTGGCTTGCACAGGGCAAATCTACTTGGAGTACTTCCTTCCTGGCACCCCCCCCCTCCTCACCCCCCCCCACGACATAAAAGAAGAGAAACAAATGATAATAAGAACAAAAATACTGAAGTGCTTGAAGAAGGACACTTCTCAATCCATGTTATTGTGACCACCTAGATATACTATCAAATCCCTCTAGTTCAAAATTGAAAGCTATCCTTGTTTCCCTTAAACTCCCAGAAGTGATCAACATGTAACTTCTCTCTATAATGTACATACGTAATTCACTTAACAGCTATTGAGAATACACAAACTTATCAAGCAGAGGTTGTTATCTTGATCTAAATACCAAATTCTCATAACTAATTTACATGGAAAGATGTAGCAACTATAGGGAAGAATTAACATTCTGATTTTGGGAGTCAAAGAATTAACATTCTGATTTTGGGAGTCAAAGGGTCACAAAAAAACATTAAGCGCAGTTTTCCAACATTTTTCACAAGAGTGGAATTTTGAGGCAAAAAATAAACTTGACCTCTCAAAGACCCTATTTGCACTTACTGGTATCTAGTGTTTCTTTCATTAAAAGCTTCAAGGACCCCATCCAAAAGATCTCACTTTTGTGGAACTTATTCATCACATTATCCTTGCAGTGCTTTCAATAAGATTTGAAGAAGGTGGCTGCCTTGGTAAGGCTCCTGCCAGAGAATTTCCCTCTTGTAATCCCATTACTTCCATTTGGAATAAACTGGCTTAAAACAGAGTTTTTGGTGCCAAACTTTCACAGATGATCATTAAATATTTTTGTTCTTGATAATAATTGTTTAACTGATCATTTTATTCCAGATCAAAATTTTCCATTCCCTGTTACTCACAATGTTACTGTTTTTGCTCTTGTTCCTGTTTGTCTTTGCCTTCAGGATAATCCTGTTTAACAGGGCTGTCACAAGGGACTATGTAAGGTCTGACAAGTCCTTTAAAATTTGCAGCTGCCACAGCATACAGGGAACCTTAACATGTGAAATTCAACATTTAATCCTCAGCATATAGGTTAAAAAAGGTGTTCCAAACAAAAAATGCCATGAGTGACAAAAGACAATTCCTGAGAAGTGTAAACCCAACTATACACTCTGACTTTTGCAAAACAAATGCTGTTAAGCAATATTCTGACTCTTCATGGCAAATGCTAAAAGACCTGTTAATAAAATAATTATCAAAGTTTCTATTATTTGATACTTGAAATTAAAAACAAATTAAATATGCAACTGCACCAATACACATTAAAAATGAAGAAAAAGGAATATTAGAATCCTCAATGAAACAATGACTATCTATATCTTAACCTTGTACACTACCTTGGATCACCTAACTTAAACAACCTTCTATTTACACCCAGTTAATAAACATGTACACAAAATTGAGTTAATTCAGAAGCTGAAGCTGTACAAGAATTAGATAAATCTCATTTCCCCAAGAGGCCACTTGATGCTAAATATTTTGTCAACTAAATTTTCTTTTTTCTCTTTTTCAGGTATTGTGACCAAAATGTTCAAAGCCTGAAGTACTGTGTAAAGTAAGACCAGTAAACTATGCTATAAATACCTGTAGCATATGATCTCAGGGGTTCCAAGGCTTCTCTGGCCCACTTGCATAATTGATTGAGCATTGCTTCCTACATGTACATGATTGACATCAAATTTGTTGATAGGAAATAAGTAGAGAAAGATATTTATTGTCTCATCACAAGTGTGGGACAAGGAAAGAATTCTGATTCCCCATAAGGAATTGAACCTCAGACCTTCAGATTCCGCACTCCAATGCTCTACCACTGAGCCAGAGAGACTCCACAGTGAGTGAGGTCTATTACAAAGTTCATATGACATGCATCCTGCATAGTGTCCTGCATAGCATCATGTTTATAAATAGCATGAGAGATGGTAAGTTTTGAACTCAGTAAAGAAATAAAGAAAGATGTTTTCATCTAGTCACGTGTGTAGGACCAGGGAAAAAATTCTGAGTCATATTCTGTTTACAAACATGATGCTAACAACATTGCTGATCGTAGCAATATGCAGGACAAGTGTCACTGAACTTTGTAATAAACCTCACTCACCGTAGAGTCTCTGTGGCTCACTGATAGAGCATCAGACCCCAGAATCCCAAGATCTAAGGTTTGATTCAACGTGGGGACTCAGATCAGAATTTTTTCTTTGTTGTGACAAGACAAAAAACATCTTCCTCTATTTCTTTACCAGGCTCAAAACTTGCCATCTCTCTTACTCTATTTAAGAAATATGCATTTATTAATTAAGGAAAAATGAAAGTGAATCTGAAAAGTTTGCGTTTTTTTTAAAGTTTTTTTTCCACTGAAGTGAGGTGACTGAGAGCAACAAATAAAATCTCTTTTTTTTTTTTCTTTTTCTTTTTCATAAATTTTTCATAAACTCATAACTAAAAGAAATTCATTTTTTTTATCCATAATTTGATGAAGTAGAAATTGTGCGAGTTAATATTAAGTGTTTATTCTTTTCTAAAAAAGGAAGTGCCATGCCACAGAAACTGGACACAATTCCTGGACTTTAACATGGAACTCAAGCTGATGAAAAAATGTCACATCTTAAGATTATTAACACTTTAACTCCCACAAGTGATTAACATGTAATTTCTCCCTATAATATTCATACATTATCCAGCAAAAAGGTAATGAGAACAGTCAGACTTATCAGGAAGAAGTTGTCATCTTGATCTAATATCTTGTAAATTTGTAAGAAAATAAAAAAAATAAAAGTGTGAAAAGAGTGAAACACCAAATTCAGGTGACTAATTTACAAGGAAATGTGTAGCAGCTAGAGGAGAGAATTAACAATCAGATGTTGGGAGTTGAAGGATTTAGAATACCTTTCTAAACTTACCATATCTTGAAAAACTGCAGCACTTTCCAGCCCAGGAATGGCATTTCACAACACTCTGGCTGCAGTGTAGTGAAGATCAAACAGTTCCACAGAGCTCATGATGTAGGAGTTCACTAGTTTGTCCATAAATTCATCATTTCTGAACAGAGCCTTTCCATGCTATGTTTCATTCGTTCTGAGAGGGGAAAAGGTTTTTTTTTGGTGTGTAATTACAGCCACATGCCAATCCAACAACAGTTTTATCACAAGCAGGGTAAAATTTCCGCACAGTCCCATCCTACATTATGCATTCAGTTCTTGGATAGAGAAAACAGTGACAAAAACAACACATTGCCATTGGGGAAACAGATTTGTTTTACGATAGTAGGGGGCTGTGCCGAAATTTTACCAAAAATACTACTACTATTACACTTCACCAACCTTTATAGTGTTTTTTAACGGGTGATACATTATCCTGATCTTCCTTTCGCCAAGTATCCAAAGGATTACTGAGTTCAGAGGTGCTATCCAATGCAGCCGTGGCCAAAACAAATAGACAGTTTACCACAACGAATCCACAACGTGTAGAGTTTCGAAGATTGAAAAGCCCGCCATTTTTGATCCGAAAGATATAATGATACAGGATTACATGGTCTTCCTCTTCGAAAGTGATCTCGCTTTTCTCGGCATAATTACTCTGATATAACTGAAAGTGATTTTGTTGACTGTATCAAGGTCAGATGTAATTCCCGTGTGTAAACTATATTTACGACGATTAGTCACATGGCGAGTTCCAACACAACACGCGCTAAGTCCCAGGCTATTATCAAAATTCGCGACGAATGCCTAGTTGTTATTGACCTCTAACCAGTCTTTTTTACGTTGCAACTCGGTCGGCTGTGATCTTATTTGGAATGGTTCACCTTTAACGACCAAAAATAATCATGAGAAATGAATGACTTCCATTGTATTTTGCTCTCCTTAACTTTTGATTCTAGTTTGATAAATTTTTTGAAGTGCTTAAGAGGAAATTAGAGTACCACAACTGAAGTTCAGAAAGGCACACGCAAGTTACTTAAACAGTTACAAGTTCTTTAATGATTTTACGTTTCCTTCTTTGAAGGCTCATCACCAGATGATTACCCGAACAAGTTGAGGCAGTTTTTCTGTGTGAGGTATGGAGAAGCATGGGGATCTCGTTTTCATACAATGTTTACCGAAATTGTCGTTTCTGAATTTTACAGGAAATGTCTTACTTTTTGGTCCATCATTTTCTGTCATTTGTCCAGACTTTCTCTGATACTTGTCTTCTGAATTTTTCAAACTGTTCATTAACAGAACAAACCTGCAAAAATGTTCCCCGGAATCTGAAACTTGGAAAATATCGACCGATCAGCTTGACAGGTATGAAACCATCTTTTGGATTCTGCTATATTTACTCCCCTGGCCTGGGAACTAAATAATCTTTACGTAAGGATATTAAAACGGTTTTTCAAAGTAAGTAAAGTACTCGTTACCAGCCACAAAATCTACAAATAGCTAATCATACAAGTAAACAGACAATCAGGCAATCGAGCAATCAGAATTATGGACAATTTCATGCAGTTAAACGTGGAAGTCGTTATTGGTATTTTACTTGGTTCTCGGGGCAAGTTTTGTTTGCCGATCGTCACGGGCGAATCGATTTCATTCCTCCAACCTGTGGGTTGAAGGATGGTCTCTCCATCATCTCTGTCCTAATTCAACACCGTCTGTGTGTAGGCTTTGAGATGGTACATGACCACTTGTTCTGTGAGAAGGGTGCCATTAGCTCGGAAATTGACTTGTTTGAAGAGTGTTTGCGCCAGGTTATTGGCTGGAGTTGTCATGCGATTCACAGTGTCATTGCGTGAAGTGAGATTGACATTTCCCGTCGTCTTGAATCCCAAATTCAATTCCACAAAACTCCGCTTCAGATCAATGTAGTCCGATTGTCTTTCTATGTAAACGTGAATCGGAGTAATACTCGCTGTATGAGGTGGTACTTTGACGTACCTGTAACTGGCAGTGGAAGGATCCGTAGGTGGAATCGTGAATAGGTTGAGATTAGGATTGATAGCGGCTTGTTTTCGCGGCCATCTCGCTACAGATGATGTGTTTACTTCAACGTCTCCATCGTTTATGGGTGCTTCTGCGAGTAGAACGGTTCTTAAATGGTCTTCTCTTCCTCGGAAACCCACCGCCTTGCTGACGATTATACCTTTGTCTTCCTTTATACTTTTTTAAAATAGGAGTCACAGGATCATTCGAATATCCTGTACCCACCCCAATGATAGGGGGCACTACTACGTGCGGTACTGATACGAGTCATTTTTTAGGCTCCAAAGATATCGTTCAACTTTCTCCTGATTTTTCGTTTCACTTCGTTCTTGAGTGCTGAAGAAGCACCTCTCTTCGCTCCACGTCCCTTTTCTGACAGGGATCGCTTCTTCAATCCACTTTTAAATTCTTTCTTCATTACCTTTAAAAAATCTTGTCTCATACCACTTCCTACTTGTGGTGGAAAGTCGCCTGGTACACCTGGTCCGTAGAACGGGGGTGGCGCACTCCAACGAAAAATACCACCTCCCGTTTGATTCGGACCCCACTTGCTGGAGTATACACTTTGAAACTTTTTAAACTAACTCCTCTCATGATGATGTGTCAAGTACGAGTACACACGTCACTTTAAATCTTTTTTATGAATCCAACTGTTATATTTAGCAGGATATCCTTTCCACTTGACTTACAATTTATCTTTTTGTCGTTCCGAGACTCTAAAATACGAGGATTCGTCCAATTGTACTTTTTGTAAATCCCAGGCGTAAAACGTAACCTGCAAAGGTGTGTCGTCGAGTTCTTGCACTTTACAGGTGGCGGTCATACCCGGTAAGACTTTGCGTACCACAAACACTTCTTCAGTCCAACTGGGTAAGTATCCTTTTTTGAAGGGTCTAAATTTTTTATTCAATCTCACTTTATCCCCCACTTTGAAGGCAGGAGGTTTTTTTCTTGAGATTCACAAATTGTCCCAAACTTCTTTGGGATTGAACATAGTGACTTTGGCGGGAGTCATGCGAATACTTATATGATACGTGTGATTATATTGATACACGAGTTTCGGTAAGTTGTCTACATACTTTAAGGTATTAGCCGCTGTAAAATATTTGTACATTTTAGATTTCACACTTCTATTAAATCATTTGACAATACTGTCTTTGGCATCTCCGTGGGTGGAAAAATGATGAATGTTCTGCTGTTTCATCAGTCTGAAAGACTTGATTGTAAAATTCCTTTCCTGCATCTGTCTGTAAGGTTTGAGATTTACGTCCCTAAGCAGTTTTGAGGATCTTGACAAATGCTTCAGCGACATCTTTTCTTGTCATCTTTTTAATAGGTTGAGCCCACGCGTATTTGGAAAACGCGTTAATGACGACCAGAATGTATCTGAATCCTTTATTCTGTTTAGCCAGAGTTTGCATTTCCACCAAATCAGCTACTCACTGTTGGTCAATGTCAAAGACGACGACAGGTTGAAACATACCTCTTCTACGACGTGGTTTATGAAGCGTATAGGCAAGATTCTTCTCTAATTCTTTTTTCGCTTTGGGACGTGAAATGCCTTTAGCTTGAGCATATTGAGACACGCTCCCTAGACTGCCGACGACACCGGGTGTATCGTAATCGAGTATCTTCTTTGTCTCGGATTGAATCTTCCTTTTCTTTTTAGCCATTACAATTTGAACCAATGACTCACACAGTAGTAACCAATCCAATACTCTCCCAAATACTGTGCGTACAATCGATTCCACATATTAGATGCATACTTTCCCACGTAATATCGCATGGAACTCATCAAGTGATAAATACGAGTATGGGGAGGATACAAATGAGGTTTCATAGTATGAATATACACATCTTCTATCATAAGGGAAGGAACCCAGTCGTAAGGTATTCTATACACGTCATCGTCTTCGTACACGAGTACCTTAATGCGTACACATACCCACGATACGAATCGGTAGTGAGCGTAACAATATAGAAGACGCCACCAAGAACCCATGATTGAACAAAATAAGAATATGATTTCAATTTACACATATTTTATTTATCCGCATTATAACACTCCAGACACATGACCTCGTTTTCTAAACATTCCAGTTCACTACTAGTTAGGCCTAGTCGTGGAGCTAACCTCCTAAACAACGATAATCCAATCCTCTACCCAATATGTGCATGCTCTTCTTCAGAAAGCTCACCTATTAAAAAATCCAAAAATTTACAAAATTCATTTTTGAAATAAAATCGTGAAAAATTCTTCCACTTTTTTAGGATCTTCTTTGGCTAATTCCTGAGCTAATAAGAACAGTTCTTCATCTGTGGGCATGCCTTCCTTAAATCTACGCTCTGAAAAACGCGAATTATACCATTTTACTTAAAATTGATATGAATGTTAGTAAATCTCTGGGATCTCCTTGTTCTATGGCAATTAAAACCCATAAGTTCTTAGGCGTAACTTCGCCATTTACCGTCCGCAAATTTTTCAACCCATGCATCTACTCCTTCTTCTTCCACAGTTTAAAATAAGGGCAGTGTAAGATAACGTCGTCTATCTACGACAAAAAATGTCATTCCATGTCAGCACACAGAATTTGCTATGTTCTCCTGGAGGGTTTGTGACGCCACCAATGGAATAGATTACTATTCTTCTGACGACTTTTCAAATACATCTTTTGATAATTCATGTCTGACTTGTGATGTCACTGGGTATCATTCACCGCTATGTGAGGCAATTGGAGAACCAACAACTCTTTGTAGTTGTAAGACAGTTTACCATCAACCAACTGAAATAGAAACGAAGTTCACGTAAGTATATCAACGTTCAATGGCTTTTAAAAAATGTATCTTGATTTACATAACTTACCTCCGGCACCGAAGATGATAACGAAAAAGAGATTTCAAACAGAGTTCCTGAAGGCTTAGCTGTGCGGAATCTCATTGAAACACTCCACAGAAGATTGACCTTTGAGTTGGCAGGCACCCTCTTAAAACTCTGTCTTGAGAATCTCTTAGTGTATTTCACACCTGTTGAACAAGGAAGTTTGTATGAATGGTTTGCATCTAAGAACCCGTGATAAGAAATTGACGTTCTCCTTAGTTGGGGTATTTTAGGGTAATGCGAATCCCAGAAAATCAACGCTGACTGGAGGCCTGGATAATTTCTCTCCAATTTAACCCTTTAACTCCCATGAGTGACCAAGACAGTATTTCTCCTTACAATATTAATACAATATCAACCAGGTAAGTGATGAGAATAAAGAAAAACATCAATTTGGGAATAATTAGTTGATCCAATACTAAGTTCTCTGAACTAACATCGTAAGAATTGTATGGTTGACAGTAAGGAGAATTACAAATTTGATCGGGGAGTTAAAGGGTCTAGGAAATTAATTAACCCGAGTTACAACAACCTTTACCTGCTATAAATGACCAAGACATAATTTCTCCTTACAATATCGAAACAATATCAAGCAGACAAGTGACGAGAATGAAGAAAAATATCAATTAGAGAATTATTAATTGATCCAATACTAAATCCTCAGAGCTAACATCATAAGAATTGTATGACAGACAGTAAGGAGAATCACCAATGATATCTTGGCAGTGAAAGGGTTAAGAAACAGAAATTGCTGACACAACAGAAGACAGTATTTGAGGAACTCGGCCCTTAACGTTAAGGAAGGGAATCTTTCGACTCTGAGGATTGTTCACAGGGTTTTTGAAACCTGCAGATCTTCGTCAGATTAAAACTGATTTTTCGCTCTTTTCTCAGAACTGTTGGGTCAAAATCTGGTATGGATCGATAATTCAAGGCGAAAATACCGGTGATTAAGTACGTGCATTTATTAATTGAAGATCCACTAAATCAGATAAACTCGACGATATATTTCTCATAACAAGGAATCGCATACATTTAAATGCTCATGAGGTGTCCTTTATCATGCGCAACTCATGAACTGTTGTCTGCATCTCAGATACCAAGCATTTGAAAAGATTTCAAAAGATTCCGTACTTTTCCGGACGCTTCAAACTAAAGTAAATGCGAGAGGAAAGTTCACTTACATATCCGTAAAAAAAATTCAATACTTGTTTCACAGCGACTTCCATCAAACCCAGTGGGACAGTCACACCGGCGAGAACCAAGTATGTTGAAACACGTGCCTCGCTCGCAAGGTTTATATGTGCAAGTGTTGCCCATTGCTTTACATTTAGCACTGGTTCCGTTGTTGTACAATGGGTGACTGAGGTCCAAGAACTTGTGATCGATGTAAACATTTCTGATGCAGCCAGTAAAATGTTTGTAGAGGACTGGGAATATAACTGGTAGCTGCACGAGCCCACCGAGAAGAAGAGAGCCTGTCAAATCCAAGGAGCTAAAGAAAAAAAAAAAGGATCACAGTGTTACTATTTGCAGTTCGCTTTTTATTCCCAACACAAAAACATTCCATACACGATTTTGAGAATTTAAAAAGTAAGTAGATATCTATTATTATGTATAGGTCAAGTACTGCAAAAAGGGTACACTTGTGATCAAAGCACACTGATCAGGAAGTTCTAGCCCTCAAGATTACAGTTGACCCTTTGACTCTCAAAAACGAGAGCTCCAACAGTAGTTTGACATAAGTAATCTGACAAAAAAATCACTGCTTGGGGTCAAGAACATGTCAAAAACATCTTACAATAAAGGTCACCCACTATACTAAAATTATTGCATGTATTGACCCGCTTATAAATACCTAAACCTCTGATGATAATAACAATAATTAATAATTACAATAATAATGACAATTAATAATAATAATAATAATAATAACACTATTAACAGTTCATATGATGTAAATTATTTCTCTATTCTGAATTTGCTTACAAATTTTAGAAATAATTAATTCAAACAAATTAGAAATAAACATAGTAAATAAACATCAACACAGTTTTTAAGAACCCCAACTAGTAAAAGGCAGACAAATTGGCTTTAAACAGAGCAAAGCCAACGAGTGGAACTCAGTGCAACTGAAAACAAATCCAGTGAGTAGCAGAGTGGAGAACTACAACCTGGGACAACCGGATGACAAGTCCCTAAGCAGGTGGCCAGCACCCTTAGCACTCAGCTACTCTGCCTACTCCTTGGCTCTTTCTTGATGGTATGCATTTACATAAAAATGTACCTGTAATTTTCCAATTCATCTTTAACCCAGTGAGCCCCACACCCTTGAGCTCAGACCACCCCCTGAAATTCCAGAGAAAATGGCTGCCACAGTGAACACACACACCACTGTAAAAATAATCTACGACTTTAATGTCTTTAATTTACTCTACTGCAGGGAAACTTCACAAAGTTGCATGTTAAATAACATACTTTCCGCCTGTCAAATTTTATTGGCAACTTGAGCATCAGGCTCTCTCAAAAAAAATTCTAAAGCTAGAGAACTGATTCAATTTCATGATGTACGGTGAGTCATTAGCAAGGTTGCCTTCAGCTTCGATAGTATTTATCAGTATGATGACTCTCTTTTGCCCTCTTATTCCATCAGAATCATGTAAAAAGCTTTCCCTCAAATACAACACCAAAAGACAGATCGCAAATTTCTCCTCAACAAAAGGAATCCTAAACTTTCTAACGCAGGTCGATTTTGAATTTGCCCGCCATTGCGACATCGCGACACTTCACAAGGCGCGGCTATAAAATTATTTTTTGTGAGTCAAGAGCAAGAACAAACCAATTTTTACGCCTGAATGAAAAGTTTCACTTTTAACTATGCAAATTTGTTCTCTTTCAGCGAATGTGAACAATAATTTATTTCAAACAAGAAAAATCAAGGTTGTTGTCTTCATCCGCACACAATGGCTGGCTTGCGAAGTGAGACTAATGCGCAACAATAGTTTTCACGATTTAACCCACTGAGATCCGATGCGCCCTCATGCGCCCGGAAATAAAACCCCTCTGAAATTCCAATGCGCCCTCAAGCGCCCTATCAGAAATGGCTTTTTTTGATTGGTTGTAGCCTAGAAACAAAACTCCCCTGGGTATTGGAAAGCAGTGAAACGTGACATGCAAATCTTAAGCTTTCATTTGAGACCAAACTCACTATTTCACGTTCGTCATGCGATTTTTCACGAATTTTTCAAAAAACCGTATTGATCTTAGACATGGCTTCTGGAAGAATTGATGAAAGTCGATTTTCATCCGATGAAGAACAAGAAGTCTTCGCTGGTTTTACATCGAAGAAATTGAGAAAATACGACAAGCTCGTCAAGCACGGCTAGAACAAAACTCGGTTCGCAATGTGGATGACGAGATAGAAGATTTTTACGACCTACGATCGCAAGAAAGGGGAAGCGATTCCGACGTTGAGCTATACGCTTGCGAGGAAGAAGAGGAAAGCGACGAAAGTTGCGATGAAGAATCTGCCACTGAATAAAGCCGACCAAATACTCTTCAATGGTCCAGCACATTGCGACAAATTGATATCGAGCAATTCTCCATTAGTCATGGCCCGACTCGAGATCTCGGAGAAAATGCAACTGCCAAAGATTTCTTCAATGTATCTATCGACGATGCTTACATTGATGAAATCGTCCGACACACCGTCGCGTACGCTCGTTCAAAAGGGGATCAGACGTTCACAACGACCCGAGCGGAAATTTCAGCGTATCTCGGGCTGAACATTCTCATTGGAATCCATGAACTTCCTCAACTGGCAATGTACTGGGATTCTGACGAGTTTATTGGAGTTGAAGGCTTCAAAAAAACGATCCCAAAGCACCGCTTCATGACTCTGTGGAAATATTTACATCTTGTCGACCCGACCTCAGAGGACCGAAACGATCTCCATTGCAAAGTTCGCCCCCTTGTAACTCGCTTGGAGCGAGGGTTTGCCGAAGCATACACTCCCGGGAAAAACATTACAGTCGATGAAGGGCTGGTAAAATTTAACGGGAGGCTTTCCTTCAAGCAGTACATGCCAATGAAGCCTGATAAATTTGGCATCAAAGTTTGGCTTCTTGCTGATGCTGACACCTACTATGTTCCACGCTTTCAAGTCTACTTGGGCAAGAATCGGACGAACAGTGAGCTATTTCAAAGAAAAGGTCTCGGTTATTATGTTGTTTGGACTCTTGGAGAGCCCTATTTGGATAATAATCGGCATTTTTTCTTTGATAATTTCTTCACATCTACTGATTTGATGCGAGACTTGCAAGCAAGAAACACCTACGCTTGCGGCACCGTTCGCACCAACAGGAAAGACTACCCATCTGACCTGAGGCGCATGAAACTCGTTCGAGGTGAAGTACGAACCCGTCAGATCGGGAATTTAGTTGCCACGATGTGGAGAGACAAACGTGTTGTATCTCTACTATTGACCAACACTTCCCCTGAGCCAGAAATTCACACAATTCAGCAAGTCGTTCGCGGGCGTCGGAAGCGAGTTGTCCCAGCTGATGCGATGAAAAAGCCTGATGTTGTGGATGTTTATAATGGAGGAATGAATGGGGTCGATGTAAATGACCAATATCGGAGCTATTATCCACCTGGGACAACTTCTCGCAAATGGTGGAAATATTTGCTCTGGTTTTTTGTGAACTTGTCGATGGTGAATGCGTACATCCTGGAGAAACTGGCCGGCAAGAAGAAGCGACGCCAGCTTGACTTTCGCCGAGAATTAGCGAAGCTTCTTATTGCCGGCTACAATGGATATAAACGTCCGTCTAATTCTGGAAAACGCGCGGTAAAGACTGTGACAACGGAGGAAAATCTAAGTGGCCATTTTCTGGGGAAACTGGAGGGCAGGAAGAAAGCTTGTGCCATGTGCACAAAGGTTGGCAGAAAAAGGAATGAAGGCCGCACCTTCGAAACGTCTTACGCGTGTGAACATTGTGGTGTTCCTTTGTGACGCCAAATGCGGAGTGAACAATCGTGTTTTGCCGAATGGCATAGTGAAAGTTTGTAGGAAACAGAACTTTTAAATGTTATGCGACAGTTATTTGAGAACTACTTGTGATCACAGCATTTTTTAACCCTTTAACTCCCATGATTGACCAAGACAGAATTTCTCCTTACAATATCAATATAATATCAAGCAGACAAATGATGAGAATAGGAAAAATTTTAATTCCCCAAACTAACTTCAGAAGTACTATATGGCAGACAGTAAGGAGAATTGTTAATGAGATCTTGGGAGTTAAAGGGTTACAGGTAAAGGTGAAAGGGTCAAAAGGTAAAAACCCTTAAATCCCTCCAATATATGTACACACAAATTGGAAGTAAACATAGTAAATAAACATCAACACAGTTTTTAAGATTCCCAACTAGTAAAAGGCAGCCAAACAGAGCAAAGCCAGTGAGTGGAACTCAGTGCAACTGAAAACAAATCCAGTAAGAAGCTGAGTGGAGAACTACACCCTTGGACCACCAGATTACAAGTCCAGTGCCCTAAGCACTTGGCCAGTCCCCTTAGCACTTGGCAAGTGCCCTAAGCACCTGGCTGGCACCCAAGCACCTGGTCAGCACCCTAAGCACTCAGCCACTCTGCCTCTCTGATGGTGTGCATTCACATAAAAATGTACCTGTAATTTTCCAATTCATCTTTAATTTGAAGTTGCTGTGCTGCGGCACATGGGAAGAAGGCTGCATTGGTCCCAAAATTCACTGCCACTGCAAGTTTACAGTTGTCAACAATGATTATGCCAGTCTGAAAAAAGAAAAAAAAATGATTTACTGGGTAAAAAACACTTCAAAAAAGGGTTACTTATCCTTGTATGTATTAAATATTTTCAATATAAAGTGAAGACTAACTCTGAGATCATCAAAGCAAAACACAAGATAACTTGGGATACTGGATTGTAACAGGGGGTTAACCCTTTAACTGCCATGAGTGACCAAGACAGAATTTCTCCTTACAATATCAATACAATATCAAGCAGACACGTCAAGCGGTACTGTAGATAACAAGCATTTGAAAAGATTCCAAGATTCCGTACTCTTTCGAACGCTTCAAACTAAAGTAAGTCCGAGAGGAAAGTTCACTTACATATCCGTAAAAAAAAAAAATCAATACCTGTTTCACAGCGACTTCCATCAAACCCAGTGGGGCAGTCACACCAGCGAGAACCAAGTATGTTAAAACACGTGCCTCGCTCGCAAGGTTTATATGCGCACGTGTTGCCCATTGCTTTACATTTAGCACTGGTTCCGTTGCTGTACAATGGCTGACTGAGGTCCAAGAACTTGTGATCGATGTAAGCATTCCTGATGTAGCCAGTAAAATGTTTGTAGAGGACTGGGAATTTAACTGGTAGCTGCATAAGCCCACCGAGAAGAAGAGGGCCTGTCAGATCCAAGGAGCTATTAAAAAAAAAAAACAAAAAAACAAAAAAAAGGATCACAGTGTTACTATTTGCAGTTCGCTATTTATTCTCATCACAACAACATTCCATACACGATTTTGAGAATTTAAAAAGTAAGTAGATATCTAGAATTATGTATAGGACAAGTAGTGCAAAAAGTGTACATTTGTGATCAAAGCGCACTGATCAGGAAGTGTTAGCCCTCAAGATTACAGTTGACCCTTTGACTCCCAAAAATGAGAGCTCCAACAGCAGTTTGACATAAGTAATCTGACAAAAAAATCACTGCTTGGGGTCTAGAACATTTCAAAAACATCTAAATACTAAAATTATTGCATATACTGACCTGCTTATAAATACCTAAACTTCTGATGATAATGATAATAATAATAATTAATAATAACCATAACAACAAATAATAATAATAATAATTAGTCGTATGATATATTTTATCTATTCTTAATTTGCTTGCAAATTTTAGAAATAATTAATTCAAACAAAATCAGATATAAACATAGTAAATAAACATCAACACAGTTTTTAAGAACCCCAACTAGAAAAAGGCAGCCAAATTGGCTTTAAACAGAGCAAAGCCAACAAGTGGAACTCAGTGCAACTGAAAACAAATCCAGTGAGTAGCAGAGTGGAGAACTACAACCTGGGACCACTGGATTACAAGTCCCTAAGCACTTAGCAAGTGCGCTAAGCAGCTGGCCAGCACCCTAAGCACTCAGCCACTCTGCCTTATCCTTGGGACTTTCCTGATGGTGTGCATTTACATAAAAATGTACCTGTAATTTTCAGATTTATCTTTAATTTGAAGCTGCTGTGCTGTGGTACATGGGATGGAGGCTGCTTTGGTCCCAAAATTCATTGCCACTTCAAGTTTACAGTTGTCAACAATGATGATGCCAGTCTAAACAAAGAAAAAAAATGATTTACTGGGTAAAAATCATTTCAAAAAAGGGTTACTTATCCTTGTAAGTACTAAATTTTTTCAATATAAAGGGAAGACTAACTCTGGGATACTGGATTGTAACAGGGATTTAACCCTTTAACTCTCATGAGTGACCAAGACAGAATTTCTCCTTACAATATCAATACAATATCAAGCAGACAAGTGATGAGAATAAGAAAAGTTTTAATTAGGGATTATTACTTGATCCATTACCAAATTCCCCAAACTAACTTCAGAAGTACTATATGGCAGACAGTAAGGAGAATTGTTAATGAGGTCTTGGGAGTTAAAGGGTTACAGGTAAAGGTGAAAGGGTCAAAGGGTAAAAACCATTAATCCCTCCAATATATGTACAAACAAATTGGAAAAAACATAGTAAATAAACATCAACACAGTTTTTAAGAACCCCAACGAGTAAAAGGCAACCAAACAGAGCTAAGCCAGTGAGTGGAACTCAGGGCAACTGAAAACAAATCCAGTAAGTAGCTGAGTGGAGAACTACAACCTGGGACCACTGGATTACAAGTCCAGCGCCCTAAGCACTTGGCCAGTCCCCTTAGCACTCAGCAAGTGCCCTAAGCACCTGGGCAGCAACCTAAGCACCTAGCCAGCACCCTAAGCACTCAGCCACTCTTCCTCTCTGATGGTGTGCATTCACATAAAAACCCTTACCAAACTGAGTGATATGGGACATACATGGCCCATATATGGGTCTGATATAGGAAAATCTGTGGGCCATATATGGATTTCATAGGATTTTGCTATGGGACACTACGCACCATATCAAACCCATATGTTGCCATATACTGCCTCTCTATTGTCTCTTCTACGGGAAAGATACATGTTTCATGAAAATCCATACTTTTTCTTTACATGAGAATGATGTGGGCTATGGGAATGGTATGGGAGCTCAAATGAGTCCCATACCAAACCCATATCTATGGGAAAGATATGTATTTCGTAAAAATCCATACTATTCCCACCTATGGAAATGATATAGGCTATGGGAATGGTAGGGGATGACTGCCATGTAAAGGAATTATATGAGAATGGTATGGGAGCTTAAATCAGTACCATACCAAACCCATATCTATGGGAAAGATACATATTTTGTAAAATTCCATACTGTTCCTATATATGGGAATGGTCAGGAGTAACAGTGCCATACCAATCCCATATGCCTTTGGTCAATCAATACCTGCTCCATAAGCTATGGAAAAACTATGGGACTACAAAGGGAAACACAACTTGTACCCATAGCAAACCCATACCTCAGCTCCTTATTGGTAACCTGTGAACAGGCTTACTTACTGGAGGTATGCAGTTACTGCAACATTTCCACAAAGGTAAGAGCTATTGATAGAAAACAACCACTTTGTGATTAAGTTTTAAAGTCCATTTATTCAAACCCTGTAGACATTGTTAAATTAAAAACTTAAATTTAAATATACTTACAAAGTAAAACTGTACAAGCCTTGTACCTCTTTTACGGTAACTGTAACGGTAACTTAAGGTAAGTGACTTAATTTTCAACCTTTATTTACTGGTAGTTTGGTGTCATTATAACCTAAGTGTCTATTAATTTTTTGGTGTCACTATGATAGTTTTATTCCATTCTGGAAGAAAAACTCTTATTCTCTGTGGGAGCCAAGCCTCAACACACTTCATGTTTATTTTTTGCACAACTTGGCTGGCAGTGACACTGTCTTTTGTAAATTTTGAACACACTTTGCCTAAAGAGAGAATCAAGAGTTAAATGTTAATTGTTTTGTCTCATTTGAATTTATCAAAAAATATTTAACAATCTACATGGTATACGGTACTCAAAGTAGTCACAACACTGTTTTAACCTGGGTGTCTGAGAGTTCATTTAAAAGCAGGTATTCATGGGCTTTGGAATGTAAGCAATTTTAGACAATTCAAATTCAAAAACTGTCTGGGCACAAAGCATTACTTTTCTTTTTCTGCAGACACGAGCATTCCACACATATATTTTCTACTTTCTATTAATTCAATACATGAGCTAGTTAAATTCACCCCAATTAATACATAAAAATTAAATTATAGAGTAATTCCATCTTATACCCTTGATCACCTTCAAAATTATGGCAACTTTGTAGAAATAGCAAAGGGTTAGAAAAGTATAATGAACCTACCAATGATTGCATGGACAATCAGTGGGTTTAGTGGTTGGTGGCTGTCACCAGTCTTGCTTTTTTTTTGGTTGCCCATGGCACAAGAGGATGCTAGTTTTTCTTTGTTGAAGAAAATATCAACAACAGCATTGACATAGCCAGACCAATTTTTTACTGCTGAACAGTAGGCAAGATGTTGTGTATACCAGAACACCCCAAATCCTTCGTCAAGTTCTACCATCTGTTTTTAAAAAAAAAAACAGTGACAAACATAAGCTTTTGTAGTTGTTGTTCTTTCTTCTGTTTGTACAATACACCAACTATCATGCAAAGATTTCGTAGCCTTTATTTTGTTACTGATATGATTAACTGATACTGGTAATAGGACTTTGTGTCATACAAATCAGGGATAATCCTTCTCATAATTTCAAGTCGGCTGCACATCATCACACTCAGCTGATTTAAAATCACTTGCTTGATTAATCCCTGAATTGTACTTCACACAGTCCTATTACCATCAGTCATTAATAGTACAATTATTGGAACTCCAAGGGTCAAAATATAAAACATTACCTTGTATTCTATTTCCAAGGAAGGATAAGAACACCTGGGGGAGGCCTGTTGTTTATTATCTCCTCTGTTGTCTTTGCTTTCACTGTAAATGAAATGATTGAAAATTTTTGTGTTTATGTACAAGCAAGTTACATGGGAACTATGTAAAATATCTGCCACTGAATAAGTACTAAGTGGAAGGCCAACAATTTCAAAATGTTTTGAGATAGGCATAGATAAAAAAAACTTTATTTCACTTATAACACACATGAAAAAAGCTAATATCAAGCTAATGCCTTCATCAACTGAAAGAATTGGCTGTTGTGGTAAGTGAACATGTTTGTGAGCTGATTGCTAGGACTAGAATAACTGGGTACATGTACTCGATAGAACTCGGACAGTTGTGGCTTGTTTTGAAATCCCTGCTAGCAAGGCTTGCATTAATATCAGGATTGAGGGATTACACTAGAAATGTAAACACAATTAACCACTTCACATTGGGGCTCTTCAGGGCCAATGTAAACAAATGATAAAACAAATTGTACATGAAGATAAAACACATGCACTGTTTTAGTAATAATTATTATTGATTGCAAAAAAATACTCAAGATTACATACATGCTATATTAAGCCTCCTGTGCAGTTTCTGAATTATCTTCCTCAAAGCTTTATTTTCCAGTTGTTGTTCTTTACAGCAGTTTCCAAGGGCAATTTCAGGGTTTTCTTCTGTGCAATATTCAGTATCTTCCTCTTCTTCACTGCTGCTGTCTACCACGAGCTTTGAAAATGTAAACCTCTCCTGGGGTCACAGTCACTCTTTTTTTTGTTGCTTGACCTTCTGGGAGTCTCCTCTGGAGGTTGAGTTGATTTTTTATGTGTAGATGCAATAGATAAGGTTGGAGAATTTGTAGAGACAGAGCGAGGACAGTTGGGTTGGGGTGTCCCTGTCTTTTGTTTGGATGGAGGCAAGCTTGAGCAGGTTTTCTGTCCACCAGTTGGAGTTAGTGCTGTATCATCAAAGCACTCATCTTGTTTTTTACTTGGAGGGGATACTCTGGCTTGTGTAGTTGAATTCCTACCACGAATTGGTACAGGTGTGAATCCAGTGGCAGGAGTAGGGTTCACCTCACCAAGAATGGTCGCCTCTTCTTCCATTTGGTGGTTGTTACTTGTAAGAGGACTGACAGATGCCCATCATGCAGCAGCTTGTGATTTTCTTGTCTGCAGTAACAGAGCCTGTCTTTGTTTTTCTTCTTCTTTCTTCTTCTTTTTTGCTTCCTTTCTTTGGCTTTCTGCTCATTTTCTCTGTCATCATTTCGTATCTTTGACTTCTCACGTTGCTGTAACTCTGTGTTGCTATCATCTGGATGTTTCTGCTTCTTTTCTGCACCTTTTTCTGGTTACTAAATTCATTTTTTTTTGCCTTCTCTAGACATATTCTTTCTTTCATAAGCTCTTCCTTATCACCTAAATTGAAAGATGGTTTTAAACTTTCAATGCACAAGGAAAGAAATGTCTCATATTTAACTAGTTCCATGACGCTTATAGATTTTATAGGATTAAAGACAACTTGGGTACATTCATAATTTTTGACACAAATTATCAATGACACAATGGATACTCTTGGGTCGTCCCTCAACCTGTATGTCCTGAAACTAAAAACAGGTACTGGGTTTTGTAGAAAATAGTTGGTCCTTTTTGTAAAATATATATATTGAGGTGGCTGTTACTGGTATCATCATAAGGGAGATAAAAATCTGTAACCAGGGAAAGTAATGTCAATGTTTAATAAGTACTGTAGGAGGAACCCTCCTCTTGATTAATGGCTGTATAAATTTGTCAGGAAATATTTCTATTATTAAAAAAAGTGAAAACCTTTGCTTACCTCCTTTCTGTAGCACTTTAGCATCATAATATTGGTCATTTGGTAGCCAGAGTGCACTAACAACATCACTCACTTGCAGCTCCTCTTCATTGTCCTCTGGAAATATGTGCTGAACTTCATCTTCATGTAGGACTCTCAAGGCGCAATCATCTTCACAAGTCACAAGGTACCAACACTGTTAAAAAAAAAAAAAACACAGATCTATTTGAAAAGCGCTTCTTGACTTGTGTTGAGTAGTAGCATTTGACCATTTCAAAAACTTGTGCAGCATTACATCTTACAATCTTACATCTGCTATTGTGCAGTGATCTATGCAGATGCAACAATGATCTCGATCCGAACGAAGTAATTAATAATCCTTTTTTGAGTTGAGCATGTTCTAAGTTTAGAGAGAACTTTGCACTGACAAAAAAAACGGAAATTGGAGGATACAGTGAGAGTATACAAGCTTATGATCGAAGTTCCTAAAGAAATGACACCTCTAGCTTTTGAAACTTAAGGCATACAAACATAAGAAATTTCTTACCTTCTCTAAGACGAGCTGGAAAATTTCTCTTGCGTGAAGTACGTTCAGCCATTTTTACTTAACACACACTCGAATTGGACGTTGATAACATGGAACTTTTCTCTAAATCTGACAAAACTCTTAGGAAATCATCGAAGGATCACGATTGCACGAAGAAAGTAACAAATTCGAAAAGAACGCGCGTTCTTTTCTGTCACATTGTGATTGGTTTAAAGCGACCACATGATCAGAAGTAGATGCGTGCGCACTGATCTCTTGCTCCCAGACACACACGGTCGCAGTCACGTGTAAACAACTAAAATGGCGGAGATGAGAAAAAGAGGACGCTACAAAGAGTACATGCGGCATTCAAACCCGTATAAATTTCCAGCAGCAAGAAGAAAAAACGTATCCAAGCGATATCTCCGCAGTATCCATCGATCGCAAACCGTTTCTCTGCATTGCTTCAGACGTGATCACGATTTTGAGTTCGAAGATGATGTCTCAATCGACTGCGATGTGACAGTGACAGCAGACGCCAGTTTATCTTTATGTTGTAGTAATAGCGATGAACAATTATGCCACAACGAGGACGAAGTTCTTAACACAGATTGTGGAGTGTTTACAGCCGAGAGTTTACAATGCGACAGTGCAAGTGAGGACGAGCCATTACAGTTCACCGAACACGAAAGAATGTACGCACGTTTCATCAAGGAGGAGGATACTTCTTCAGACATTTTCAGTGATGTCGAGAGCAGTGCTGGATCAGACTCTGAAACTCTTCCAGACGATTGTGAGAAGAGGATGATGTACTATATTCTGGTTCGCCAATAACGACCACTTCGAGCATTGTTTTGATATTGTCGTTTGTGCTGAAATATAAACTCACACAAGAAGCATTTCGTGACTTGCATGCAGTGATTGAAGCTCATTGGACAAAGTTTCCGCTCATTGCCCCAGACCCAACAACTGCAAGAAGGAAGTTAAGAAACTTTTCGAGTTTGTGAGCCAAGCTAAAGGGAATATTGTTAAACACGTCTTTTGTTCTTACTGCAAGGCGTATTTTGGCAAAGGTACTCAGGATAATCGTGGAAATACTGAAGTAAAGGGAACGTGTCACATTTGTGGTAAAAATCTTGCTGCCACTCATGGATTCATCATAGAGGCTCCGATTGTTAAGCAGCTGCAAACATTTTTTGGAAGTGAGTGTAATTGAAGTTAGCTTCACATCTGTTTATTTTAATAGTTATTTTTTTTTTAATTAAGAGATAGTGAGGATTGATTTGTGTGAGTAAAAACGACATCAGAATCTAGCAGCATACAAAAATCTTCATACAGTGGGCTTCTTTAGGGGCTTCTGTACAGTTTGTCATAATAAGGGGTCATTTGGATAATAACTTCAATAACGAGTCTTTTCTCATGATAGCCAAGGGACAGACCCTCTACTAATAAGGGACACTTAAAAGCTAACAATCATTATTTGTTTGCCCGGCCTTTTTTGAATCAAATCTTAGCTGGATGGCAACAATGTTAGCAGAACAACACATGCAATGTAGGTTTGTCACAAATGAACAACAAAAAAATGAGCTGCAATTTCTAAAAGTCCTGCTTTTACAAACTGGAATGATAACATGTATTTTTATTTTGTGCAAGATTGAGAGTTAACATTTTGTGCAACAATTATGCAATAAAGGAATAACATCCATGTTTTTTTCTTTTTTTTTGCAGACCCTGAATTTGTAAGTGGCTTAAAATATCAATTTCAAAGAATGAAGAGGGATGATAGTAACATTGAAGATGTGTATGATGGTGCACTCTACCAAAGGGAGTTTAAGCCAGGTGGCTTCCTCTCAGAACCAAGGCTGTGCTCTAACGGCGCCCGGTCGCCTGAGGCGACTAACATTTGGCCTCGGGCGACTGAAAATATTTTCTTGGTCGCCCGGCCGGGCGACTGGCTGGTGTTGGTTTCTTGATTTACAGTCAAAGTCAGTGCTTTTCTAAATAGTATTATAATTTTTCCTTTAAATTAGGATGGCTCGTTAGTTAGTTTTTGAAAAGCAATTGTTACTTCTGCTCTGACAGGCGTAAAGTACGGTCGACGATTAATAAATCGCTAAATGAACACGGGAGTCGTTCTTTTAAAAGAAAATGTTCCATCGGGCGCGCGTTGATGTTCAAAGGTCGTTCCAAGTGAATTCACATGTAGCATAATCCTTGACTTTGAACTTGACTAGCTACACAGTTTTCGATTTTAACGGCTTTTCCAATAGCATTAAAATTTTTCCTTTAAATTGGGATGGCTCATCAGCTAGTTTTTCAAAAGAAGTTGTTACTTCTGCTCTGATAGGCGTAAAAGTACGGTCGGCGATTAATAAATCGCTCTTATAAACACGGAGTCGCTCTTCTATGCTAATTTAATATTTTAGCCGGCTTTTTACTGCCGTGTCTGCGAGGCAAAAACATAACTTACGATTGTTTTTCCAGTAAAACACGATGTATAAAAAAGAAAAGATACGTTTTTTTTGTGATTGTTTTAGAAACGGGTATAAACTCTATAAGTTCCGCATTGTCCTTGCACTGCTTCTGTAAGTGTGACTTAAATAATTATTTGACTATAAGTGATGATAGGTTTTCAGGAGGTCAAAGGATACGATGTTTCATGAACATAAAAACAATAAATAAATGCACATAGTTCTATTTAACTCGTTACGAAAACAGTTTGCTTAATTTTTAATAATTAACTGACTGATTTATTAATTTGGGCGACCAACTAGGAGGCCCGGGCACCTCAGCTAAAATGTTTGGGAGCCCGAAGGGCTCACCGAAATTTTGATTTGGGCGACCATCTTTTAGGCCTGGGCACCCAAGCTAAAACGCTTGGTAGCCCGAAGGGCTCCCTGAAATTTTCCTTAGAGCACAGCCTTGAGAACCATACAACATCTCTGTTAAGCTTAACACTGACGGTGTGGCAATATTTCATTCATCGCAGTTTGGAGTTTGGCCACTGTTTCTTCTTGTCAATGAACTCCCTCCAGCAATGAGGCAAGTGAAACAAAAATGGTCATGTCACACAGACATGCATTGTAAATGTAACTGGTAAAATATAAAATTATATGTTGGTTGTGCCTAGACTGGAGAAGTGACTATCACTTTGAGTTTTGCAAGGTTTCAACAAGAGTAAATTGTTTGCTAGTGCTTTGTAAACTGAAATGAAAAATCCTAACCATTACCATCCATAACATGCAAACCAATAATGGATTCATATCCTATTGTTTTGGAAGGTAGAACTTTGAACTTTCAGACTGTAATAACACACAGATCAGAATACAGATGCTAAGTTGATCTTCTTCCATTTGAATTTGTCTCACAAGTATATATACACTGTACTTTGTTTATCTAGGAGAAATAACAAGTTCAGGGTGTTTGGTGTGTGAGCATGGTTCCTCAAATGTATTTTAATGGTTCATAAGGTTTTATACAAAGGAAACCATAGCAATGATTGTGGCATGGAAACCTGATTCTGTAGTTTCTGTTCAATTGAGAAAAAAAAGGTTTCCAAAACGCCTCAAATTTTGTCAAAAGTACCCCATTGTATTATGTGTTCAGAAATCCTGCTGAAGTACTGACTTATCTGTTTTTGCCCTTTTTTGCTTCTTTTAGATGCAGCTATTTTAATACAATTGTATGAAAAAGGCAAGCAGTGATATTGCATTAGTCTGGATTGCGTACGTTGCTTACCAGCACTTAAATATTGCCATAGTTCTCCTAGATGTGACATGATATGGAATTCCCATAACATTTGATGTAGTCATACATCATACATTTGCTATGGAATAACTATGGGCAACTTACTCCCACAGTTTGACCATGCAGTAGAATGATCCCATATCATTTCCATAGAGCAGGCACAACAAAGTGTGAATTAGCAGCTGATATGGGATAACTATGAGCACCTTACTCCCACAGTTTTCCTATGTAACTGAATGATCCCATATCATTTCCATAGAGCAGGTAAAGCAAGTGTGCTTTAACAGCTGGTATGGAATACCTATGGGCACCTGATTCCCATAGTTATCCCACACAATGCGATGATCCCATATCATTCCCATAGAGAAAGAAAGTGAAGCAGATGAGCCATTGCTATGGAATATCTATGGGCACCTTGTTCCCATAGTATTACCATACAAATCTTTTCTTAGGCTTTCAATCCCATATACTTCCCATAGCTTGAATTTTCACAAAACTGGGCACCATATCAATCCCATACAATGGTCTAACCATCCCATATGGGCCATAATTTGCCATATCAAACCCATACTTTTACTTTGGTAAGGGAATGTACCTGTAATTTCCGATTCATCTTTAATTTGAAATTGCTGTGCTGCGGCACATGGGACGGAGGCTGCTTTGGTCCCAAAATTCACTGCCACTGCAAGTTTACAGTCGTCAACAATAATAATGCCAGTCTGAAGAAAAAAAAAGATTTACTGGGTAAAAAACATTTCGGAAAAGGGTTACTTATCCTTTTACGGATGAATTTTTTTTCAATATAAAGTGAAGACTAACTCTGAGATCATCAAAGTAAAACACAAGATAAATTGGGATCCTGGATAGTAACAGGGGTTTAATTAACCCTTTAACTCCCATGAGTGTCCAAAACAGAATTTCTCCTTACAATATCAACAAAATATCAAGCAGACACGTGATGAGAAAAAGAAAAATCTTAATTAAGGATTATTACTTGATCCATTACCAAATTCCCCAAACTAACTTCAGAAGAACTATATGGCAGACAGTAAGGAGAATTATTTATGAGATCTTGGGAGTTAAAGGGTTACAGGTAAAGGTGAAAGTGTTGTTTGCTAAAAGGGTCAAAATCCTCCAATATATGTACATAGCAGTTTACCCTTTAACTCCTAAGATGTGATTGTTAATTCTCCCCTCTTGCTGCTACACATTCCCTTTTAAATTACAATCGTAGTTACAAGGATTTGGTGTTAGATCAAGAAGACAACTGTAACTGATAAGTCTGAGTATTCTTATTACCTGTTTGGAGAATTATGTATGGATACCATAGGGAGAAGTTACATGTTAATCACTTCTAATAATAAAAAGGTTCATCTCAGGAAAGCTACTAACTGAATTAAGGGCAGAAAGATGAGATATTTGTTGAGTTATCCTTCAGGCATCTGAGATCAGATCTTTTTTTTTTAGCCAATTTGTAGAATTAACTGACGAAATTAAAGTGGCCTAGGCTGCCTTTCATTCAGATGAGGGCATGCTGGATATACAATTGTACAATGTATGAAGACATGATAAGGAAATGATAAAGGAAAAACCTAGATGGAAAATTCTAATTGTTAAAACTAGGCAGTCATAGATGAAAGATTTAAGTTTGAAAAACAATAATCTGATTAGGATTCTGTACAGAACTGATAATAGTAGCACTCCACTACGACATATTATGCCATCCAAAGGTTTTTTGGGCTCAACTACATTCTTTTACATTAATGGTCCACAACTGTTATTTCAATGAGATTTCACATCTACAGTGATACAGTTTTGGAATATGGCTCTCCCTTATCAGCTGCAGATTATTTGGTTTCAACCAGTAATTGCCATGCCTACACCGGAAGAGAAATAATTCCAAAGGCTTTTATTTTTCTTTTCTCTAAGTTAAAAATTCAGTATCAACAACATTCAAAAGGGATTGATATATTTTAGTATTTTCTCACAAGTTCAGACTCTGTTGTGTGATGCCCATTATTTTCCCATGACCTCTTCATTTTTTTTAAACAATGCAAGTTATACTTCAACTTGTAATTACTTTTGAAAGAATACAATGAATTACTTATAGGTCATGCATTTTCATTGCACACCACTCAGTGCTATTGCAATGGAAAACAAGTAACTTTGAATTCTCCCCAATAAATAACAAATAGCAACTGGACGGGGAGACAGGACTATGTCCCAATTTTCTAGCACAAAGAATGAAATAAATGACGTGCACAATATCATTGTAACATGACCTCACCCTGTAACTATTTTGTGTTCATTTGATTTCTAGTTTTAAAATGTTCCAGATTACAGGAACACTTATTTATGTGAAAGATGATGTATTCATAATTGCATTTATATTCAGACTCAAAGCACTCTGAATTCTCAGAGTTGAAATTAAAACCTTTGGATCCGTACTTCTGATGTTCTCTCATACATACTTAAGTACATGTACTGTATGTGTTTACTGCTATCCCCAGACTGTTCTTTTTTTTTCCTTTTTATTACTTTTGCTGCCCTTCTTTGACCCTTTAATCCCTGAGAGTGACCAGCATCTAATTTCTCCTTTCAATATCATCCTTGAATCAAACATTTAGGTCATGAGAATAAAGGAAATGATAATCAATTAAAGAACCTCTTGATTGTTAGACAAATTCTCCTTGCCAGCACCTTAGAAAATGTATAGAGAACAGTAAGGAGAATATGCATACTGATGTTAGGGTGTAAAGGGTTAAGACTTTTTATCCATATGAAGTCAATTTGTTCATTTGTATACAATGTTTGGCAAGATCATTTAAAACACTGGTTATCTTGGCACATGTTGTGCATGTTCATACATGTTTCAATGCTAAGTTTTTTGTCATAGCTGTGCCAGGTTGAAATTTTGAATTGCTTATCACTGCAGGAGCTGTCTACATCAGTATGTATGTTTGTTTTTTTCTAAACTTAAACAGCTTGTTGCTCTGAAGAAGCTGTGATACTTCCAAAATGATTTTTGGATTATTGATCTGAGAAGGAGATATTTATCTTCATTCCTTTACATTTTGACTTTCTTTAAGTTCAGAGGTTATCAATGAAGGTAGTAGTTGTTTTCATATGAAAATTTCAAGTTTGGTTTTTTTGTTTTTGTCTTGCGTGGAGTTGTTGTTGTTGTTTTTTTAATGGATGATCGAGAGGAAAAAAGGGCAAGTGTTGTTTTTCATGAAAATTTTCTTGAAGTCAAGAGTTTTACCCTAATTGAGATGCTCTATAAAATAGTCCTGTAATATCTATCAAAATAT